CAAATCATTTAACTTCAGTGGATTCTCATCGGACATTAGCATTTTTACGAAAAAAATTATTTAACTTCACGTGTGTAACTGGGGAATAACGAAGAACAAAGATAGCCAGCTTCCCATGAAACGAATTGTACCTACATCAACCCATAATTAACTCGTTCATAGTGAACCCTCGATAAGATATCAAGGAAGTTCCAGACTAGAAAGAATACTTTATATGCTTGTAAGTTTGTACAATTTTTGTATATAAATCATTGTGTGTAATAACTATTTGTATTGTAAATTGTATTGTTGTTTGTATATTAAAACATATTTGTGTTAAAAAAGAAAACTGTTTGTATCAATATTGTTGGCAAATATCATAAACTGACTATATATCGGCTTTTACTTAACTGCTAAGTCCAAAGTAAAATTTAACTACTAAATTTAAAGCATCATTTAACTCAATTTCAGGCTATTTGAAATTCTAATACGTAACACTTCCGTACAGCCATCCCTTAGCTCTCACCCCACCTACCCTTGGGAGGAATGCAATATCAAAGTTTCGAAATCTAAAGGTAAATACTTATTTAGAACGCTTCCTTAAATGTATATTCTAATATTCACGTAGATCTGCGGATCCAGTCCTGATAGTCTCTAAATTTTCGTTGACTTCATACAGGGGCTCAAATTGAAAACTCCTGAAATATGAATTTACATGTTTGATATTTTAATACCAATTAGCGGTATAGTCAAATGTGATGCTCACAAAATCCTGTGATTCCACCACGATTCTCTCAAAATTTCATTTCTATTTGCCTTTTGTGTCGATAAAAGGAGATCAAGAATTAAATTAAGCGCATATACATACACGTATAAGAACAATTAAGAGTTTCTTTATAAATATTATAAAAAGCTGTATTAAAATGTTTCTCTACAAGTTATATGAACGTGGCTTAGAATAGCTAACTAGAAGAATATCAACAGTATGATTGTTCGCTGCAAGTGTGTACTGATTAAAAACGCCTATGTCAGCCTTATTGAGAATATAGAAATCAAAAACAAATGCAAACAACATAAATTATAACATTTTATTATTATTGTCAATAAAACACGAAGAAAGATGTACGACCGAATAAATTACATCTTATTATACGACTATTTCTTATTATAAAATTAGTATAAAGTTTAACACAATATTATATTATTCTACTATGAAAAAACAAAAACAAAAAACGATTGAGTAGTCATTTTCACGTATACTTCTCTCACATTTCATTAAAAGACGGACGTGATAAAACACTACACAAAAGTGGATTACTCACAACAATTCTAGGAGTGAAATGCTATTCTAGCTAATTATTATATTAATTTAATTATAAATTTTATCAATTCATATTCCAAATGTTTTGCATGGAAGCTGTAACGTCATATTAACTTAAAATATTCTTATGGCCGATCAAACAAAACTTTTATTTAGCAAATCTCAACATCACAAATTGGTTTATGCGAGTTTTTAATTTGTCATTTCAGAGTCGAATTAAGTTGACATTTTTTATGGTTTCTGTTTAAGATAAATAAATAACCGGGTGGGTAACAATTGATGCATGTCATATATAGCACAAACTGATACAAAAATGGTACTAATATTTATCATTTATAAAAGTAATTTCTAACACACGTAAAATAACATTGGAATGTGGCGCAAATAGCTACGTTGCTTTGTGCCAATAAACCTCCCAAACCCAACCAACATTGGAATATAAGCTACTTACAACGTGCTAAACTTCGAAATATAATCTCACTTGACATGTTTGTACTTATAATCTTTATAAATGTTATGTTTTCGTTCGTTTTTCGATATTAAAAAAAAATACTCATTTATTCGAGAAGATATTTTTTCCAGGCTTTCATAGATCTTTTCTTATTTCAAAAAAAATCTAAAAAATCTTATACTGGTGAAAAGACAATAACAATTCCTGATGAACCTGGTTTAGGAAACGTTAAATAAACAAATCCCAAACATTGACTTTTCTCTCCAATGCTGTATGAAAATTTTATTTTTATATGTTTGATCGCTTGACAAAATCCAAGAAATTGATTATTTCGCAAGATTTGCTTTTAAAGATTACCGTCGATACGAAGAAAAAAAAGGGTTTAAAAATAGGGTTTTCAATGAAAAAGTTGAACATATCATGCTAATAAAAAATGCAATACTTTTGCAGGATTGGCCTAACAAAACTCGTAAGATTCCACAAGCAATAACCTACCACATTGGTTCCTGAATAATACCTATCAACGAATGGAAATAAAGAAGTTGAAGTATTTCTAGTATGAATCATATAGTTACTCAAGAAGTGCACGTTTGATTATGCTTCATTTCACAGTTGTTCAAGATTTCTTTTGGCTTCAATACTATGTCATTGAGTATTCCCGATTAATATTTCCCTTTAGAACACTACTGTGAAATATACATGTGAAATAATATATAATCTGAGTTTTAATCTTGAAAAGTATGATATATTCACATGTGAGTTTGTAGTTTTGTACCACCATGAAGAAAGAGTATTCCTCTCAAACTTTCAAAAGATTACCAGTTGCAAGTTTCAGATACGTACAAGAATATTAAAACAGCTTTCTATTTGTTGTTTTTTATTGTGTATCTAAAATAGGTAATAAATCTGGCACTGGAAGAGTTGTTCATATGTAAATGTGGCAGTGAAAAAGAAAAGAATTAAACTGAAACAAAAAGAAAAATATCTGTCTGATCAGAGTTGCTGTTGTTTCATTGTTTATATGACAATTAACACATTTAAAACCAATTACAATATCTAGTGGAGAAAAGATGTGCTATAATGTGAGGGAACTATTGACAGTAAAATTGCGAAAAACAATTACTGTATACATACATGCATATTCACTACATATTTACGGATGAAGCAATAATTTGGTTTTATATTTTACTGAAACGCTATCTGCTGTTTCCTCAGAAGTCAGAGAAATATAAATGTTTATTTTTAAATAGTATTTTCTCTTTCGGTAAAATCATTTCAGAGGGTATTCACAATTCAAAATATTGCTACCCTTTCCAGTTTCCATCAAATTCACCGATTTAAGTGTGTGAGGAAGAATAATTTGTCCAATACACCCAGTAAAGAAATGGGTAAATCGACCACCGGTTTCTTCAACAATATCTTTTTCTCTAGGAAAGCCTCCTAAAGATATAAGAAAAACAAATTTCATGGTTATTATTACATTCAGAATTTATACATTAAAACCTGTGAAAATATTAACGAATTGTTTATCTTTTTATCCTAGCCAATAGCAACATCAGCAAAATTACAGCTCTTTCCCGGCCTTTCCACTACTTAGAGAAATCAAAATTATTCTACAGTTAGACTACACGATTTACTTTAAATTTCATAAATATATTAAAATAGTTAAGAAAAATTTTAACACAGGAAAAATTCATAAAAGTGTCGACCGCATACAGTTATTTATTTAGTACACATGAGTCTGGAAAATGATTTCAGTAATGACTTTATATTCTTATTCTATCTGAGAAAAGTAAATGTAAAAGTTCGCTTTCTCTAAGGATAAAAAATTACTTTCGATATATTTTGCTCTAAAGTCGAAGGACTATGGAACAGTTTATTAGTCTTTCCTAAGTTTCTTCCCTGCTGTAGTTTATATCCAATGCGTTTGTATGGAAACATCGTTTACTTGTTTCCACATACGACAACAGGATCAACATTTAGTCTAGTAAAGACACTCATTGTTCTAGATCATAATTTTTCTCAAGTTAGAAGCTTTCTCGTCTCAAAGCAAATAAAGAGGATAACATTAACAAAATTTTAGCTCTTCTTGGAACTTTGCTTTCTAGCTGGATGCTTCTTTTGATGAAACACCATGCTGAATAACACGACTAATTCTTTTAAACTAACGATTTTCTGTTTAATTTTACGTAGAAGCTGAATCATCTAACTACACAGTACAAAAAAATTAAAGGATCTTTTAAATTCATAATATTATTATATACCACATGAGAAAATCGCTATTATAAAACAATATCAATCAACCTGTTCAGTCCATTATTATGCAAATCGGGCATCAGATGATCTAAAGGTAGCTTTACATAAAGTACCGATAATCAACTAATTCAGCTTACACACATTAATGAACATTTAATAAAAATTGCGTTACATAAAGTACCGATAATCAACTATTAAGCTTACACACATGAACGAACATTTAATAAAGGTAGCTTTACATAACGTACCGATAATCAACTATTCAGCTTACACACATAAATAAATATTTAATAAAGGTAGCTTTACTTAAAGTACCGATAATCAACTATTCAGCTTACACATATAAATAAATATTTAATAAAGGTAGCTTTACATAAAGTACCGATAATCAGCTATTCAGCTAACACATATAAATAAATATTTAATAAAGGTAGCTTTACATAAAGTACCGATAATCAGCTATTCAGCTAACACACATTAATGAACATTTAATAAAAAGAGCTTTACATCTTCACAATTCATGACATTTTACTTTATTATGGAGTACGGTCACCAAACACACCAATGAAAGTCTTCATTTTTAAAATCAGAGAATTTATAAGATCTCGTGATATTCTCGACTATTCATTTGAAAGCATTGTTTTTATGACATCTCTGGTTCCTGGAATCACTTAACGGAGTGTGACACCTCTCTCTCAAAAGCATCTCATACATGCATGATGCGATTGAAGTTCTGTGAATGTGTGGATAAATCGATTAGGTCAATTTCCTTTTTTTTTCCAGAGAATATGTCAACCAATTCAGTATGGTTGGAACAGGCATTATCAATTAGGCTCAAGTTAGGGCAAAATGCATCAGCACATAGCAGAACAAAGGATCACTAGACATGGTTCATTTAATAACGCTCCTTTGCTTGAAAATAATAGAAATACTATAATTTAAAGATTTCATTTCAAACACTTAAAAATAGTTAAATTTTTGATTTTATTTGACAATGCTTCAAATATGGACGCGAAGATTTTACTATCACAGTTTGCTGTCTTTATGCTTCTTCTGACCACGAATTCAGCAATTTATGTTCCAAAAGATGTTAGTTGTTTAAATAGAAAGCATTAATAATTATATATTGCTATTTCTAGATTTGCAAAAGTGTGTTTTTCTATAACGATACTGAAATATAAACTTATCAGCGCCTTATTTTTTCGTTACATTTGAATCTCAAGATTAGTCAGGCCTCATGGTCGGGTGGTTAGGGCGCTCGACTCGCAATCTTCGGGTCGCGGATTCGAATCCCCGTCACACCAAACATGCTCACCCTTTCAGCCGATGGGGCGTTATAATGTGACGGACAATCCCACTATTCGTTGGTAAAAGAGTAGCCCAAGAGTTGGCGGTGGGTGGTGATGACTAGCTGCCTTCCCTCTAGTCTTACACTGCTAAATTAGGGACGGCTAGCGCGAAATCCATAACAAACAAACAAAATCAACATTAGTCATTATTATTTGAAGCTTATATTTGTAATCTAATATATAATTACCAATACAATATTGTGTTGGTGGACTGGACATCATAAATGGGTGTTTTAGACACCGATAAAAAAATAAACAATACTGATCGATGATCTTTCAACGTTCTTGAAAGTGATTCTTAAAAATGCTTGAATTTATTTTCAAAAACGTTTGTGGGAGCCCTGTTTTAATTGGATGACATTAATGGTCCATTCCGCAGGATCTAGAGACTGGTAGTCCACTGACACGTATTTATGCTAACATTATATTTCTACCACCATCTCTGTACACCAGTATTCATTTACAGCTGCAAACATCTGATTCAGTCTTAAAGCAGGCATTTTAGGATTGCAGCTAGCAAAAAGCGACAAGTTTGCCTTGTACAGATGTCTGAGCAACTGTACTAATAGCATGAAAATAATTCCACATTATGCTAAAGACGTTATGGGATACTTGTAGCCAGCTTGCAGCCACCTGTTGTTATTGACTGATATTTATTTGTCTGGTGATTTTTCCACGAGAAAACATCAGATATCTCTGACTATGGTTAAGGGTCAGTTTAAACTGTTATTCACATTAAAGTGAAAATTAAGACAAGGCAACTACAGAATATATATAAAAGCTGAATGACCAGTTATTTGTACTGCAAAATAAGAGAGCGATTGCTAGATTCCTGATATAAATAAATGAATATATAACAATGAGTTGCGATTGATGACTAGCTTAACTTTGACTAAGAGTGATTTTGCCCAATCATAGCTATAATATTTTAAATTATGATTATACTTTATTAGTGTCTTAGCATCCAAAATGTTTATTTAAAACTTATGATATAGTTGTACAGACCGAAATAGTATTGACCATGAGTATTTAGTTCCATGAAATCCCCTCTGACGTGACTGAAGAATTTCATCCTGTCAACTTCAAGCGTTAGAGTTTGCTTTATTCTGTAAAAAAAAAGAAAAAAAGAAAAAGTTGAATGAGTTTAAACAAAACAGTTATGCAATAATACTTAACAATGGTTGTAATAACACTGACAGGTATTGTTAAAATTCCTAGCTGACATTTTAGAATACAGTTTAGCTGTAAACATTAATTCACGAATTAAAGAACGTCAGCATATTGTAAGCCACGGTAATATCAAATAACTTTAGATCTGCCAGATATTTTCTGCATTTAAATATATGTGAACAGCAGATATTTATATGGAAGTTAAATTGAAGTTTTGTTACACAACTTTAATTTATAGATATAAATGTAAAATTTTAATATCACTTGTTTTTTTTTTTTTACAGTAAGATAATATTGTATAAGAGAAAGTGAATTAGGCATCAGGTTTGTTGGCTGGACTACTTGGAGAGAAGAATTATGTTTTTCAGAAACATTTTGTAATTACAGTAACGGTAATGAGTTTCTTTAACTTCAACAGTAACTTAAATGTTTCTTAAGATTTTGACTTCTAGCATCGTTCTCCTCATCAACTGAGTCAAGATCTTGCTAATAGAGTCAACCTGCTCATCCATATATGATGGGTGATATAGAACTTCAGTTTGTTAATGTGTTCTATGTTCTTAGTGCACCACATAATACAATAACTCATGATGCACTTTGTTGATCTATGAACATGAACTCTGGATGAATCCAGACAGAAACAAATTACTCTCTTGGTACAAGTGTACTATAATAAAGCACAGTTACCAAACTATGTTACAGTTGGTTTTTGTAACATCCATTTTCACGTAAACCCACTTTACCCATTTGCTGACATGCAAATACATATACACCACCTACTGCACAACACAGTTACTCCACATGTTCCTGTGTACACTGAGGTACATCTGCACTGGGTAAAGTGCCATACATCAAATGCTTTTCATACTTTTCATTCAAACATTAGCAGATTCAGAATGTAACCAATGCTGGATTCAATTACGGCAACTTGTGCAATAAATTTTAAAATTAAAACCAGATCAACGTTTAAAATGCAAAATAAAAAAAAATTATTTGGCCGACAGCCAAAATTAAAAAGACTCCATCATTCTGCATTTTAAACATTGATCTTGTTTTTAATTTTAAAAGTAATCAATGCTGTTCGTCAGTAGTACAGTTCACCATCATGACACACAGTAAATGCTGATTCAATTTTCTTTGGTTGGAGTTTCCAATCTTAACAAGCACATGCTTGATAGTCTGCATCAACCATTTAGCTAGATAATTAGACTTAGAATGATATGGCTAAGTGCAAACTTTCGCCAAACTCAATACTTGAAACAACTAGGCAAACAACTAGCTATTGAAGTTGGACCTCCAAACACTCCCGATTGATTTATCGATTTTTCAGCTAATAAATATGGGATGAACTGCACTATCATATCTACCAGTGAATAATCTATAGTACACAAAGTGAACTATTCAATAACAATCAGTTTTGGGCAGAGGATCATATATGTGCAGGTGAGTTGCTTAAAGGGAGAATCTAAAACTCACTGCCCTAGTTTCCCTTATGTATCCATTTTTTTTAACTAGGCAGTACGTATTGTCCATTTTAAACAACGCCATTTAATAATTTTGTGTAAATATATCTTGAAAAACTATTTTGCATATTCACCATTATGTACAACTCTCCCTGGATCCCTGCTGTCATTGCAATATAGCAAATTAAATCTTGCCTAGAAGTGATCACTAGTTATATCACAGGTGAGCTACCACATCTTGGTTGTTCAGACTTTACAATAGACTATGCTGGACTCGTACGTAACTATACAAATTCCAGATGTTATATGCATCGGTACTCTGTTAACCAGACTTTTAAGGTTGTGATTCACAATGCTACATAATAAGTATGCCCAAGCTATGTTCGTGTCCTTTGGTTGCTATTCCCGAAGTTCCTCTATGGTCAATTCTGGCGGTAATCCATTGTCAGTATTGTACTCTTTGTATGGTGTGACATCTAGAATCTAGACAGTCAATGAACAGACATGCTCTCATCAGTTGCTAAAATAATCCAATGATATTTCAATAGTGCTAACCTAGTGTTATTCTGCAATGATATTTCAATAGTGCTAACCTAGTGTTATTCTGCAATGATATTTCAATAGTGCTAACCTAGTGTTATTCTGCAATGATATTTCAATAGTGCTAACCTATTGTTATTCTGCAATGATATTTCAATAGTGCTAACCTAGTGTTATTCTGCAATGAAATTGCATTTGAGCAGTACCTTTATCAAATGTGAGATAATAACTTCCAGATTTGTAAAGTTTATAAGTTTAAAATACAACAAGTAAAAATATTCCCATTTTTGGTGTTCATTACCAATGTTTAGAAGCTGTAAGCAATGGCTCTCATATTTTATTAAACATTATAAAACCACCCGCTAATCATGACAAAAATCATCTTATTCTTCTATTATTGGCATCAATATCCAGAATAAATTAACAATCATTAATATTTTGACCACATCGCATTTCAAGGAGACTGGAATGCGAGTTCACAATAGAAAAATACTACAACAGGATAAGTTCCTTCTTTGTCATACAACATAATTGTTTAGAAGCTAATAATTGCCCTACACCATTCTGTACCTTTGAATCAATTACTCTTATTCCATGGTTACCAACATCAGTTTTCAGGATAAATAGATAATCTTGATGAGGATAAGCCAACAACTGAATTTTGACAAAGGCATGCTTCAAGGACTGAAATACATTTTTACATGTAGTTATCTTTCAAACTCTAATTATAGAAATTATAGAAAACTATTGAAAATACGGTGCAAGACTTAGTAAGCTGCAAACATCTTTTTTAATGTCAAGCTGGGGCCATAGCATGAGTGGATGACACATGACTAAGAGTTTCCATTTCTGTGTACATCAATGCATGCATACTTTTCTGGTTTTAACTTACAGCCACCAATGTTGATGCAAAATAATATCATAAGCAGGCTCTCAGATGCAGCTGAAATCTGTAACTAAAGAGCAATATGTCACCTACAGAAATGAGGCATCTTTCTCATTGTAGTCCATTATCAAATGTATGGCTTATCAGCTTCTTCAAAGTTGCAGGTGTATAGTTCAAATAGCCAAAATTGCCATGTTGAATAAACAGGAGTTCTCCAATATGTCCAATCATTCATTTATATGCAGAAAAGAAAAGCATTGAGATGTATCACTTTCTTTTTATGATGTTCCTTTATTCTTTTTTGACAATCACCGCTGAGAATGATTAACTAATTGTATATGGTTGTAATACCCTGTTCGTCAATATTCGCTCAATCAGAGCAATGGGATCATACACTGTGTTTTACGAATTTATAATTCTGAACTTTGATAGATTTATTTCATGTGCATCACCTGTATCTGTGACGTTAAGTTGTTGTTGTTTAATCCAACTGTAGATCTAGCCTATATACATGTAGATACTTAATACCCTGTGAGCAATTCACTGAGTTCATGTCTCTTTGTTGAATGCGGAGTTTTAGCATGATCCTCAACTAGAGCTTAGCTGTTATAAAATACATAATAAATTTATTTTGATAGGTATATCCAACGTTTATAATTTTCTCTCCAGGTAGACGAGGCATTGTTGGCGCTAAAAATTCATAAGCAGGAACAACATCAGAATGTATTGTGGATCACGCATGAGTGTAATGTAGTTTTTGTTGGTTCAGCTATGAACTTTCATTAGTATTATAAATTGCCAATTATCAAAATATCCTTGTATTACAAAAATACTTTGAATAAATTTGCTTATTATTCTAACTAGGAAACTACACAAGGCCTTCCTGAAATTTGCTTTTCTTTTGTTTTATTGTAATGGTATTGAGAAGGCAAAAAATTCTAAAGTTCTTGATTCTTATGCATTTCAAACCTCGTCAAAACATAATATTTGCACGGAAAATGAGCTTTATTCTACAATTTCAAAATCATCTAAAGCGTTCATATAGTACTTAGAGCAATAAAAATGTGATGTAATTGTGATGTAGATTTTAATTTATATACTAAACCAGCTTTCTTAACATGGAGACAGATCCTTTACCACTGCCCTTTTGCAAATAAGAACGCAGAAACTTTTGATTGTCACAGTTATATATATATGTATAAATGTGTGTGTGTGTATATAAATCAAGCATTGTGAGTTAAATGCACTTACTATTAAACGTAAACGACAAGAGACGTTTTATGCGTCTTCTGATTGTAGTGACAACAGATACCAGTACTTTAACACCTTGATTTTATAGTATTAGAAAACTAGTCATATTTGAAATCAATTTATCTGTGTGCAATTTTTATTACTACCAGTCTTGTTTTAATAACGAAGAAAATATCCACTTTTTGTATCATTCATTCCCCTAGTGGAGAAGCCTAAAATTTTCGAATAAATTCCTCTGTAGTATTGAGTTGTGATTGTAACGAATTTGTTGTAATGTGTTTATTTTTAATATAAACGTTGTTTAGATTAAGTTTGTATTTAGAAATATGTGTAACTTATAGTGTTGGATATGTATTGCGTGTAACAAATTTGTTATATATTTATGTTAGTGTCAACATTTTTTGTATTGAGTTTATATTTAAAAAAATACCTAGCTTACAGTGTTAGATACTTATGGCGAAACCTCCGCCAATTCTCCAAGATTGTAGAATATTCGTAAACGCAAGAATCGACAATATATCTACTTCCGTAACTGGTTAAATATAGTTCAGTATTGTTGTCCGAGCTTTCGAGAAAAACATTTCCCGCACATATAAAAAGACCAAGGACAAAGAAGAGAGCACATAAGTCTGCTAGGAACCTGTTATAACCGTGTATGCTATAAACCGTGATTTTGCTAACCCTTATCAACCGGAAAATATACGACAGTTATAAATTTCGAACATCATTGGATTCTCATCGGACGTTAGTATCTTTCAGAAAGTATTACTGAATTCTCATCGGACATCAGTGGTTTTATGAAAATATTATCTTACTTCGACGGTCCAGCAATTCAGTGTCTGACAAAGATAGCTAGCTTCTTGGCAATTGTACGTACATCGACTTCAAGTTAACTCGCTGGATATCAAGGAGACTCTGAACTAG